GAAGATCCTATTTTCAAACAAACCACCTTCACATATACCAGGGGTTTGGACTGAAATCTCTTTTTTAGGGGATATAATCCAATCTGTAGCATACATATGAACAAACTATCAGAGAAGAGAAAAACAGAGGTATTAGTAAAACTAAGAAATGTTTTCAAATTCTTTAGCAAGAGTTGCTACTTGGGGACAAGGTAGAGATGACACCAAGAGGCTAAGCCTTGCTATGTACGTAACTTTGATCAAATTTCAACCACTCTAGGCTACCCTTTCATTATCTAGAAAAAGAAGTGAGGGGAAGAATCCTTGGATCCATTAAATAACTCTGCTTCCTGAACTGGAGCAGTGAAAGACACTACTTCACATAGCTTACAGCAGAGATTTTCAGCCTTAATTTCATGTTAGAACCACCAGGAAGCTTTTTTCAATGCCCAATGCCCAGGCCACAATGCAGACCAGTTAATTCAGAATCTCTGAGTAAATCCCAAACATCAGCATATTTTAAAGCTCACCTGTGATTCCTACACGCAACTAATGGTGGAGAAGCCTCTAAATCTAGTAGCAAGCGCCACTTATTGACAGAAAGAGGGCCAGGTCAGGAGGTCAGTGGTCAAATGACACATGGGAGACTGCTTTGAGTTTGGGACACTTGCCCACTGACAAGAATGTTTGTTCAGGCCACGTTCTTCTCAGTAGCTACTAAAATAACTATGTGCAACCAGGAGATGAAAACTAAGGAATGGCTCTCTTTGTAGATTGAGGAATAACCCTGACACATCTAGAATTTTTGGATTTGTATTAAAAAGATTCAAAATTTACTAACTGCATAAGAATATCTTGCTTTTTCACTCAGGAGATAAAGTAGAGCCATTAATTAAGGAGAAGAGAAAGGGGTTCTTCCTATAAAGAATTCCATTTGACCCTATTGGAGGTAGGGAAGAGTTGTTTTTATGTGCCATCGAGTTTCTTGCGACTCATAGCTACCCTATGTACAGCAGTCCTGAACCCAGCCCTATCCTGTGACAACCTTGTCTCTGACATACCTACCTTCAGTCACTGAATCAATGTATCTCATCAAGAGTCTTCTCTTGTGCTGTCCCTCCAAGTCTTTCAAGGATGATGTCCCTCTCCAAGGACTGGTCCTTCCTTGCAACATGCCCAAAGTATGTCAGACGGAGCTTTAGAATCCTTGTTTCCAAGGCACAGCCTGGTTTCACCCTCTCTAGGACTACTTATTTATTCTCCTGACAGTCTACAGTATAGTCAATACTCTTCTCTAGCACCACAGCTCAAAGGCATCAATTCTCTTTCTATCATCCCTAATCATTGTCCAGCTTTCTGATGCATAGCAAATAATTGCAAAGACTATGGCCTGGATCAGGTGCACCTTAGTCTCCAGACTGATGCCATTGCTCTTCAGTACCCTGGAGGAGGAATAATGGAGCATATAATGAACCCAAAACTCATGTCATCCTTCCATGTGCACATTTTAAAAGCAGAATTGCTACTGCAGTCAGGCAAAGTGTCAGGATGTGAGATGTGGATACTCTAGAAAGACGCTATAGAAAGTTATAGAAAAGGTCCAAAACCACTGCCTTCTGAAGAGGATCTCCTTCAGCCATTCACATGTAGCCCAGGGCCAAGCTGTCAACAGTTGGTAAAGCTGAGACAAGCAATGATCAAGAGCTGACGACTGCCATGTCTGCCTGGAAATCAATTTCTCTTTAACAAGTTTCCCAAGAGGGAGAGACTCTATAGAAGAGCTCAGGAAGGAAGGAAGAAGCAGAAGATGGAACACGGGCAAAAACTCACCGTCCAGCCTGGTTCAACCTCACATGGGACCAAGAATAGTCATTTCCCATCACTAGATCTTATGTAGTAAGTCATTTGGTTTCTTCTTTTATAGAGCTAAACATTTGAAATCAATGTTCTCCATATCTGAATTGTTGTGTGCCAACAGGTCACTTGCAACTCATAGCAACCAATGTACAACAGCTCTAAACCCTTACTATCCTGTGCCAACCTTACTGTCTCTGACACATTTACCTTCATTACCCCAGTCACTGAATCAATCCATCTCATCCAGGTCGTCCACTCTTGTGCTGTCACTCCACCCTTCCAAGTATGTTGTCCTTCTCCAAGGACTGGTCCCTCCTTGCAACATGCCCAAAAGTATGTCAGATGGAGCTTCAGAATTCTTGCCTCCAAGAAGCAGCCTGGTTTCACCCTCTCTAGGATGAACCTGTTTATTCTAGCATTCCATAGTATATTCAATTCTCTTCTCCAGCACTACAATTCAAAGGCATCAATTCTCCTTCTCTAATCCCTAGTCATTGTCCAGCTTTCTGATGCATAGCAAATAATTGCAGACTGTGGCCTGGATCAGACACACCTTAATCTCCAGACTGAGATCATTGGTCTTCAGTACTCTGGAGATGTCCCTGACAGCAGGCTTTCCCAATTCTTCTTTTAATTTCCTGGCTGCTGGTACCAAGAGTGCTGATTGGGGAGCCAAGCAAACTAAAGCTATTTACAATCTCAATCTCTTCACCATCTATCATGATGTCTGAACTAGATTTCCTTTTCTCTATACAGTGGGAAGAAGGTGGTCTCCTTCACTGAACAATCGTCATGAGTAGAGCCAGAAGAAACAGAGATTAGGAACTCACATGCCTACGGAGCCTAAGGAGGAGAAAACCATAAAATGAGGTAGTGTGTAAAAAATGTAACAAATATAATATTTCTAGAGGAAAAAATTACTTATAGTTAATTATTAATTAATTCTTTCTTTAAAAAATAGTAATGAAGGTCCACTATGCAGACTGGTAACTCTTAAAAATTTATACTGACAACTCTTAAATGTGTAAAAAAAATATATTGACAGAGGCAATTCACCGGCCTATATAACCTCTCATACACAGGAGGTGATTCAATGAGAGTTTATAATTGGGACCTTGCAGTAGGTTGACTATTCTCTTTGATCCTAAGATTCACTATGCAGAAGTCATCTCTGGAACCTGAAGAACTGAAGCCACATCTTGGGTCCAGAGACATGCTGCCTGTCGATGCCTGTGGCCGCCTCCCTGTGATCCTCTGTGCGGTAACAAGTGTGGCCCCTTCAGGAACATGCTGAAGCTCAAGAGGTAAAAGCCACTCTGGCCCTCCTCTTGCCATATCTTCCCCCATTTAAAAATTGAGATATGGCCTCCATGGCAAACCATAACCAAAGAGGATGAAGGTGATGAACAGCAACCACCACTGGGAAGATCTATGGGGCTTGTCACTGTCACTTTACTCGAGTCACTGGCCACAGACACTCCCACCTCCAAAGGTCACGTAGTAGGAAATGTGCAACTAAGATCATGTGAACATCCTCACATGGATTAGATTCACGGTCCAAACACTCTTTGTTCAGCTGTCCCTGAGCAATACACGAGACTCTCAGTTCACGGGTTCTCATTTGACCAACTGTGGCATTAGGAAAGAAAACAAGTCAGGTCTCATATCAAACACATTTATTTTTGAGAGAAGCTCATAAAGAAGAGCTGTAGCAGAGTGAAATATTTACAGTAGAAAATGTGTGGCTGCTAGCCAAACTTCAAATACTGTTATAGTAGGGTTGTTTCGATAGTATTTCTCTGGCATGGCACATACGCAAATGAACTGCATTCTCCAAACATCACTCAACGGATATGCACAATGATAGAAAAAAAATATTTAGGGGCTCCTGTCCTTAAGGATATTATACAATGGATTTGCACACACTTCAAATAACTGTAATACAACACATCTAACACAACATACATCCACCAGACACACACATTTTTGTCTTCAAGGAAATTATAAAGAAAGGCAATCAAGGCAAAATAGATTGCTACATGTGTATGTAAGACACTAGATTCTTGCATAAAGAATCCCAGTGTCAGCCCTCACTTCAAAATCATATCAAAAAAGTGTGGCCAAAAATGAGTCACCTTCAATATGAAGGACATGAGTTGTGTACACACACAGAGACAACACTCTCAAATATACAAACAGTACTTCAGGAGGAATGCCAGTCTAGAGCGAGGACCTTCCAATGAGGCCACAAACCTCATGAGTTATCAGATGCCCATTCAGACATTTGGATAAAAGCAACTACAGTGTTTTGGTTCTGATCAAGGCACTTGTAAAGCACAATCTTTGACATGACAGAGTCCTGACAAGTTGTTAGTCATTGGTGATGGCATGGTTTTTGGTTATACTGAGAACCCAAGCACAATGCCTTGAATATAAACAAGGTCACTTGCAAGGTGAGTGAGGACTACAGAGCCATGTTTGCTTAAATTCTGCCCAAACCTTGTTTTTTTTCCCCTAAATCTCATTTGAACACAAAGGCTTCACCTGACATCTTGTTTCTCCTGTTAAAATTTACCTTTCTCCAACACCATTCCACGTCCTTAAAACTTGTATTTTTTTTCTCCCACAGGAACATATAGTGATCTTTTTTTCTCTCACAAGACTATTTAGAGTCGCTCTTTCTCCCAGACCTATAAATTATTTTCCCAGGAAAGAACAAAACCACTTTCCATTTGCTCACCAACAATTAAGTATCAGACCTCCCACTCCCAGTCTGGCATGAGCTGAAGAGTGCTTTGAGTATACTTTTCAGACGTTCCTCAGACCATTAGCACAGCTTTCCACACCATCATTTGTCTTTCTTCAGCCTTTCTTTGCCCAACATGACAGCTAGAGAACTGAGAGGGGAAAGAAAAGGGCACTGAAAATGCAGTATATTTATAAAAATAGATCCTAGGTTGTTATTTAATCCTCCTAAGAAAAATTGGGCAGCATTATCCCTAGTGGCCCAAAATCCTAAACTCTCAAATGGCTATCTTCTTTGTAGCTAGATCTCAAAAGCTCAACTCTAAAGCTACCTAAGGACTTCCTATTACTGAGCACTGCAGTCATAGGATTATGCTAGCAAAGGTGGCACGTCAAAGCCAGGCACAAGGAGAATGGATTCATCGATAAGAGGCCAAGTTCTCCATTCTGCCCCAGCTCTGCCATTCTGGGAAAAACCCACTAGCCAGCCTTGGGCTGCCAAAGATTGGCGAGTCCATCTCAGCCTTGGGAGACACCTGGTGGAATGCACAGTCCTTAGATGCTGTCTGTGTCTGTACCCCATCTGGTTTCCACTGCACATGGACAATTCTATAATTCTGACCCTCGTTGTTGTCCCAGTACACTTGTCCATTGGCATGGTAAGAAACACAGAACTCAATTTTCTCCTCAGTTGGAATGACTGAGGGTAAGTCAATAGCAAAGGAAAAGGTATCACTATCTGAGCTACTGTACACATTTTTCATGTAGACACAGTCCACATCGGTGTAGCTTTTCCAGGTATCAAAAGTGATACGAATCTGAACCTTCTTCTCAAAGCTCACATTTTTAACTTTCACAGTCCCAGTCATCGTTCGCTCTTGCAAAGAGCAGTTCTCCAGGCAGACGAGGTTCTTCTGAAAGTGGCTGCGGAAACGTAAATAATCAGATGAAGGCTGCGGGAAATCTAAAATCAAGTTCTTCTCCTCGTGCAGTTTTAAGCTGGAAGAGATATCATTAAGGTCTAAGAGATCAAACTGGAGATCCCAGGCTGGTTCTTCAGGGAGGTCAGAGAAGACGTGGATGGCTGTGAGAGAGAGGCCCTTGGAGTCAGCAAACACAACTCGCTTCTTGGCTTGGTTGTGAGAGTGCTTCCAGTCGTTCTGCGATTTGGCTTCCTGTTTTATGTTGAGGCATGGTTTCAGCGGCTTCCGTTTGTTCACAAAATTTCTTTGCTGGAAGTCATCATAAGGACCCAGGAAGCTCCTCAGGGGTGGCGAATGAGCCAAGCAGAATCTCATGGCCACATCCACTGGCATGACTGAGCTCGTCAGAGGCCGTGGATCTAAAACCTGGATCATTCTGCAATGGAACAAGAAGAGGAGGTTATCAATCTAAATCTAGATGTTCTCCCTGCATCCCCAAATACGTATATCCTATTTTTGTACTGACAGATTTGTCGCTGGTGCAGAAATTATCAAAGAGGTGCTATCATATGGAATAAAAGAGAACAGTATTAAGTTATCACACCTAGAGTCTATGTTTAGCACTACTTCTGACTGGCTACAAGAGTGTGCATTCACTGCCTAACACATTTGAACATCTGAGTTTCTACATCTGAGAAATAAATGAGTTTGGGCTTGATCATCTTTAACAATAAGAACCATTTCCTGTTTCAGACAAGTCTTCAAACCTATCTGGTCACAGTGACCTAAAAACTTTGTTTTTCTTTCTCTTAAAAAAACCCAAATTACTAAGTGGCAAGAAGGTGCACTGCAATCCCCAGATGCTCTGCTGGAGAAGGAGGAGCAATCTCCTCCTGTACCAGTCAGATCCAATTTGACAGTACACAGAAAATAATAAAAATAAATTTTAAAAAATTACTGGGCCACACATTCACCAAAGATCTTCTACCCATGAGACCCAAGAGTGCATAGTTTTTGAACACATCTCAGGTGATTCTGAGGACAGACAGGTTCAAAACCACTGGTTCCCCCACCTTGTGCTCCCTCTGGCTGTTTTTGCTAATTTTACTGTTGAATCCATTATGCCCCTCTGGAAAAGAAAATCAAGTATTCTTATGGACAATTCTGAGAGCATGAAGGCTGGAAAGAGTGAAATGAGTGCGTATAATTCTTAGCCTGACGTTTATGCAAGAAAGGGCTCCAATCATTCTCAATGATGTAAAAACTGTACAAGCGGCAAGCAAGGGAAGTTCTGATAAAGAATGTCTTGCATGTAGTGTGGTTGGTTCTGTATTCAGTGCAAAATGAGGGCAAACTTACACAATACTGAAGAGCAAGTATGAGTTTTCAGTAAATCTGACATTTGTAACACAGGAACTTACTGTACATGGTCTTAAAATTATGGAGAAAATGTATAGGAAACACACTCAAAAGTCAACAATTATCCTTAAATGACAGGATTCTAGGCAATCTATATTTTTCTTCCTTGAAGCTTTTCTGGTATTTTTTTTTTAATGCTTTGTCAATGCATTTCTTAATTTGGTAACTAGAACGGCAATAAAACTATTTAAATATAACTACAACTAAAAAGTGGCCATCACATTTTTATTCCCCTTTTCTGCTCTTTAGCCAACATTGCTTACTAACCAAGTCTTCAGAACTAAGACTTCTTTCCCTGCCTCAGCCTTAGAGATAAGAGGTGTGTGTGCACTGTACGTGACATTCTCAACTGGGCCTTACCAACATTGTCTGCAGCAGCTGTAGTAGGTCTGTGGTCATTATTAGAAAATGGACAATAAAGGGCATTCAAAGAATTAATGAGCTCTGAGGTTTTTCTGCGTGATCTACAAACTGAGAATAAATGAAATCTATATCTGTGTGTCTAATAATATCTCACAGGTCAGAATTTTTAGAGCTATGTTGTGCTAAATTAGTCTGAAAAACTATTCAAAAGTTGTTTTTAGTGGGCTCCCCTCCACACACACCCGTTTTTATTTTCTGAAAGACAATTTTTTGTGTTGGGCTAGTTCCCTAGGATTTCCCTAGGATTTTAGGGCTTGGCTGAGGATAAAATTATCAGGATTTGTTCATACTCCAGGATGGAATTAGCTAAAGGCAGATCGTGATAAGAAGTGGAGAAGGTCTAAGGAATGCAAAGCCCTATAATTGTTTGGGTTTATGTTTTGCTTTTTCCAAGATAAGCTCTCTAACTAATACTGTCAACGCTATGAGCTGTTCCCACCAACTAACTTGGCGCCTGAGTTTCTGGACATCTGTGCAGAACAAGGAGCGAGGGACTAAAACTAAGATTGATAAAAATTAGTAAAACAGTCACCTATTTAGGATATTAACTCGTTACCAAATAAGACTGGCCTAGAGGGGACCTTAGGAAGCAAATTCTCAAACCTCTCAAGTATGGGGTGCTACAGACCACTCAGTAACCAGTCAACCAGTCCTTCCCTGAATGGGACATTGGGAGGGTGAGGGGCGCCCAGGGTAATCTGTGAATTGAGCACCCCCTACCCAATCATGACGAACAGACGTTGATGGGGCGATGCCTCAGCATAAACTGTGTCCACTCTTGCATGGTTGTCTGCCTCAGTCAGGCATCTGTGAAACCTGGGAATGTCACTTGGCGCCTCTGCTTAATCTGCGGCTGGAGCAAATGCCCCGCTCCGCCCCTTTGGGTTTCCATTCGCATTTGAGCTTTTCCCTGTACTCGGGCTCAGAGAGTATGCAGTGAACCTACCTGGTGCAGCTCATCAGGCAGAGAGAGAGATCGGGTCAGACTGGGAGTCTGCACGCCCGCCGCCTGCGCAAGTTCGCACCCGGGTTCCGGGCTGTCAAACACCACGGTCGCCCAGGCAGATTGCGGGTCCGCGGAGCCCCGGAGGCCGGTTATCTACTCCGGACCACGTGAACCAACGGCACGGGCCAATCGCCGGGGCTCAGGCTTCGCGGCCTGACCAATCAGAGCCCAGCTGGGGCGGAGCCCCGGCCCGTGGGACGTGATCGCCACTGGCAGGACAAGCGGAACACGAGCTGGGAGCCCCGAAGAGCAGGCGGGAGGGAGCTCGGCGGCCAGCTGGCCCCTGGACGCGGGGGCGCGGCGACGCACAGCAAGAAAGTAACAAGCCTCGCCCTGGCCGCGCGCCAGCGACTCCAGACTGCAGGCCAGGAGGCTCCCTTTGCATCTTCAGGAGTCTTTTGCTTGCAGAGAATTTGTGGCCTTTGCAGATTCTGGGCACAGAAAAGTTGTGGCTCTTTAGAAATATATATATGATTCGAGATGTTTCTACTGATTTTCATTTGGTGATATTATTCTAGCATTGCTGCCCTCGCCTAGCCTGAGTCATCAGAAGTTGGCTGCTTGGATTTTTGCTTAGGACCGAACCACTGATACACCACACAGCAAGGCTTTTATTAAATTACCTCCTGGTCTAACAGATGGGGTTATGAAAGCATGCACATGCAAGCCCTATAAAACAATAAACTGGCAATATTAGTGATGCAAGTCATGTTAGATTTCCATCTATGAAGCTTTTTCTCCTTGGAAGGGGAAACTAAAGCCAGAAATGAAGGGACCGTTTCATTTAACAGGGCCAGTCAGCCACAGAGCAGGAAGCAACCCAGATCTCTTGACTTAGTTGTGACGTCTTTTGGCAATGATGCAGAAATAAAAACGTTTAAGGATCCCAGTGCAAGTTTCACGACTCTTTCAGAGTCAATTACTTTTGCTGAGATTTGGTTCTTATGTTTAGCTTTGGGATAATTTTTAGAACATCAATTATAGACATGAAATTCTATTTCCAAGTCAAGTATAAATCATTTTTTCTAAACTCTGCATTCTGGTTCTGTGTTATTATCTTAGTTTTTCTATAGCTAATTATAAATAGAATAGGCAAAAACCCCAATATTTTTTAAACTGTCAAATAATGGGAATGTTGAAATTAAGATACTTAATGTTTGGGTTTTGTTTTGGGGATTTTTTTAAAGTGAGATATTCCACTAACGGCAGATCTTCTAGCCTTTGAAATTAAATCAAAACTAGTTGAAAGTGTATTTGGGTTTGACATTTGACTACACAAATCTTGGAAATTTCTATCCTTCATTTCCTCACTTGTAAAATGAAGATAGTAAAGGTATTACCAAGATTTTTCTGATGAGTAAACTTAGCACAGTGCCAGGGACCATAGTGTCCAACCAAGAACAGTTCTTACGGCAGAACTTAAACTCGCACACAGCACCTTTTTCTCACTGCACAGAAGGCTCACTGTTTGAGCCAGATATTGATAACAATTCTGAGTCGTACTTGACACGACGGCGCCTAAGAAGAACAACACATTGTTTATTGAAGGACTTCTGGTGGCCTAATGAATACTGCTGGTGGCTGTCAGGGACGCGCCCCCCCCCCAACTTCTGAAAGAGCAATGGTGTGCCTGATTCAAGCCATGATATTTTCAATCACTTGCTATGCTGCTGAGAGTTGGACACTGACTAAAGATGACCGAAAGATGATTTCTTTGAGTTGTAGTGTTGGTGAAGAGTACTGAATGTCCCACGGATTGCCAAAAGAACAAATATACATCTTGGGGAAATGTGCAGCCAGAGTGCTCTTTGGAGGCAAAGATAGCAACACTTCATCTTTCATACTTTGGGTATGTTGCTAGGAGAGATTATTCCTAGGAAAGGGACATCATGCTTGGGGAGGGTCAGTGAAAAAGAGGAAGACCTTCCCCTCTCTCAATGAGGATAGACACAGGGACTGCAACAAAGGGCTCATGTGTGTCAGATAATGAGGATGGCACAGGATAGGGGATAGAATAGGGCTAAGATCTGTTGTTCGTAGGGTCACTATGAGTGGTACTCGACAGTACCTAACACTAACAACAACAGTGTATAATGTGTCAGACTGCTAGCCAAAGAGGCAGTAATGTGAATCCACTGTTACTCCTTAATAGAAAGACAAGGAGCCTACTTCCATAAAGACTTACAGCCTTGGAAATCCAAAAGAAGGTTGCTGTGAGTCAAAATCAAGTCCATGACAGTGAGTGGCTTTGCAATGTTTATTGAGGAGTCCTGGTGTGGTGGAAATGGTTTAATATTCAACTACTGGGCAAAAGGTTAGTAGTTTGAACCTACCCAGAGGCACTTTAAAGATAAGCCTGGGATCTGCTTCTGTTTTCAAAAGGCCTTATCTCATTTGTTCACAAGAGAAAGAGATGGAAACAACCCAAATGCCCATCAACAAACAATGGATAGAGAAGCTGTGTTATGGTCACAGAATGGAATATTATGCAGCAATGAAAAACAAAGAACTCACGAAATATTATACAAAATGGGTGATCCTGGAGGATATTATGCTGAGTGAAAGATCTCAATCACAAAAGGACAAATACTACATAATTCCACTGTTACAAAACGGGACTGACATCAGGGTTGGGAGAAACTAAAAAAAGGGGATAAATAATGTACACTGCATTGAAACAGATGAGGGAAAGAAGTGCATAAAAAGGAATATATGATTAGGTATTATTTGCATAGCAACAGTCCAGAATAAGAGGTACATAGAAAAATGTACTGGGAGGGGTTGTACAACATTGAAAAATAATTTTTTTTTCAAAGAGAAAAGTGAACTGGGGAGGTGTGAGCAGGGAGGAAAATGTGCAATGATGAATGAATAGAAATCCAAGTTTTCTATAAACTATCATTAAAATCTCAATTAAAAAAATGTTTTTAAAGAAACCGAAACTTGTCTGAGAGAGACTGACTATGCCACCAGCAGGTGCTCAGTGGGAGAAGGATGGGCAATCTCCTCCCATGCAATTCACTACCCTTAAAGTCTTTCTGGTGGGTTAGTGATGGACCAGTTCCAACTCAAAGGCACACAACAACATGCCCCCTACTTTGCAGAACTCACCCCTGTAGCTCAATTGTCACCCAACAGGCTCATAAGTGAACAATAACTCTACAGACTTACTCACTCCTTAGAAGAATCAACTTACAAAGATCAAAAGGGCAACACTTGCCCAAAGATAAAGCTCAGACGGCAGGAAGGGATAGAAGGATTCATGCAACAGTCATCACAGGGAAGAAGCAGTAAGAGTGTACCTACAAGGTGGATATGTCATTGCTGTGTGCTAAACAAAGTATGTGTGAATGCTTGAATAGAAAACCAATTCACTCTGTAAACTTTCACTCAAATTATTATTTTTTTAAAAAGAATAAGCTAGCTATTTACTCTGCTTACATGTGTTTCTGCAGAAATATTTTTAAAGCTGGCAATATTAAAGTCATGATACAAGCCTTAAGGATGATTAAGGTCATTAAGGTCCCTAAAAACAACATTTTCTGTTGATATTTGAAATGCTTATAGGGTCACCCATAGTAGGCAGGTTTCAGCAAAGCTTCTAGAATAAGACTAAGAAGCAAGATTTATCATCCACTTTTGAAATGCCTTAGACCACTTTATGGACAATGGAAGAACATTGTTCACTACAGTGCCAGAAGATGAGCCGCTTAGGTTGGAGGTAACTAAAAATGTGACTGGGGAGGAGTTGTCTTAAATTAGATTCTACAGGTAAAGCTCTCACCTGTGGAGGACCTTTATTTGCTGGTGTGCAAAAACTCAAAGGAGTTTGGGATGTTTTTGATTTGGTGTTTGGTGGATTGTTTTTTGGTGTTTTTGTTTTGTTTTGTTTTTTAGTTTTTAGACAAAAATTGTAGAAATGATGGCAATTTTGTGACATTTTATAAGCACAGCCAAGAAAAGAAAAAGTCCTAAAAAGAAATGGTTTTTACTCATTTAAAAAAAAAAAAAAGGCTAAGTTTGCAACTAACAGCAACAATGCTTGTGTTTGAGCCTCTTCTGTTGAGTCAATTCTGACTCATATCAACACCTTGAGTGTGGAGTACAACTGTTCGCCACGGGATTATTCAATGCTGTGACCTTTTGGAAGCACATACCAGGTCTGTTTTCCAAAGCATCTCTGGGTGGCTTTCTATCAACCACCTTTCAGCTAGGAGTTGAAGCTTAACCATTTTCAACAACCAAGGATTCTACCTCTTTTGTCATTCTATGTTATCCATTTAATTCTAATGATGACGACAGTGCTATCTGCAATCATTAAATTTCCTGCCAACAACATCTTTTTGGAGGAAAATATGTGTCTGCATGGAAAAGGGAATGTATGCCACCAAAATATTAACAATATTGTTTATGGATGATACATTTCAGAAAGTCACTTCGTTATTTTGCATTTTTTTTATTTTTCTACAAAGACTGCTTCTGTAATTAAACATAAGTTTAATGATGTAAAAATCTTCACACTCAACTCCCATGACATGCTTATCTGCTAGGTACCAAAAACAGCGCTGGAGGGTTTTCCATATTTCATGCCATTTACCATCCAGCCCTATTGAGGTTACTCTTGTTTCTGTGAATGCTGTTTTCTCTCCTGCCCCCTGGTGTTGACTAAATGCCACAGAAGCTGCTCTGTCATCTAAACGAAGATTCGCCAGAAGGGCCCCCCCACACACACTTTCTGAAGGAAAGTCAGTCCCATAAAACGCCAAACTGCATGAGCCAGGTGCCTCATTTCTCTCTCCTTCATGATAGGAGAAGAGGAATTAACTTTGAATCAGTGTGTCTAAGTCAGGAGTTGCACCAAAGAAGATGTGGTATATAAGGATGGTAGAAATTTTATTATTTTTGTGGGCTTTTCTCTGGCTATGATTTGTTCAATGCATCCAAGCATTTTGTT